TCAAAAAAAAAAAAAAAAAAAAGCAATGTACCCCCTAGTGACTTCTGTATGCTCCTGTCTCTTCCTTCTTGTCTCCCGTATGCTCCTGTCTCTTCCTTCTTGTCTCCCTAAAGAACTTCCTGTGGCCCTCACACACTTCCCAACCCCTGTCACTTCCTCTTTCCCTAATGTACTTCCTGTCTTTCCCTCTACTTCTTGTCTTCCTCCTTTTGCATTTCTCGTGTCCCTCCGGTACTTCTCATTAAAGACCCCTGAATACCGGCTTTTCCCCTCAGCGCTGGGCACCACCTGTCCTTGGGTTAGGCCTTGCAATTACTGTATCCCAAGCCCCCCCAAAGCACCCCCTTTCCTGGCCCCAGCCCATACTCACCTTCTCAGTGTCCTCCTTCTTCACCTGCTTGAGGTGGGCCCGCAGGTCCAGCGACTCCTTAGCCCGGGCCCCCAGCAGGGCCTGCATCATGGCATCTGCAGAGATCCGTACCCTGCGTAGGGTGGGCCGCTTGAACTTGCCCCGAAGGTCGAAGATCTTCTGGGTCAGATCTGCAATCTGGGAGGGGGAGGGGGACAGACAGGAGGTGGAGACTCCTTCCATTTCACCCTCACCCTACTCTTCCAGCCTGCACTTCTTTCTTTCCTATGCCCATCCTCTCTTTTTTTTTTTTTTTGAGTTGGAGTCTCACTCTGTCGCCCAGGTTGGAATGCAGTGGCACACTCACAGCCACCACAGCCTTGACCTGCTGGGCTCAGGCAATCCTTTTGCCTTAACTTTCCAAGTAGCTGGAACTATAGGTGCATGCCACCATGCCTAGCTAATTTTTTGACTCATTGTAGAGATGAGGTCTGAACATGTTACCCAGGCTGGTCTTGAATCACTGAACTCAGGCAATCCTCTCGTCTCTGCCTCCCAAAGTGGTGGGATTACAGATGTGAGCCACCGTGCCTGGCCATCCTGTCTTCTAACACCTACTAGACCTCATCCAGTCTCCTCAGTGCAGGCTCCCATTCCAAGCTTCTAGTCCTGGAACGGAAACCTCTCCCTGACATACCCTTGCCTCACCTCTCAAAATCACTGACATGCCAGGCATGGGAGCTCACATCTATAATCCTTGCACTTTGGGAGACCAAGACAAGAGGATTGCCTGAGCCCAGGGGTTCAAGACCAGCCCAGGCAACTTGGCCAGACCTCATCTCTATAATAAATTAAAAAAATTAGCCAGGCACATTGGCTCACACCTGTAATCTCAGCACTTTGGGAGACTGAGACAAGAGGATTGCCTAAGCCCAGGGGTTCGAGACCAGACTGGGCAGCTTGACAAGAACTCATCTCTATAATTAAAAAATAAAATAAAATTAGCTGAGCTTAGCTGGGTTTGGTGGCTCAGCCTGTAATCCCAGTGCTTTGGGAGGCTGAGGTGAGTGGATTGCCTGAGCCCATGGGTTAGAGATCCGCCTGGGCAACTTGGTGAGACCTCATCTCTACAATAAATCAAAAAATTAGCTGGGCGTGGTAGCGCGCCTGTAGTTCCAGCTACTTGGAGGGCTGAGGTGGAAGGATCGCTGGAGCCCAGCAGATCTAGCTGCACTGCACTCCAGTCTGGACGATGGCGCAAGACTCCAACTCAAAAAAAAAAAAATTAGCTGAACTTGGCGGCACATGCCTGTTGCCTGAGGTGGAGGTGGAAGGTACATCAGGTCAAGGTTATGGTGGCTATGAGTGTGCCACTGCACTCCAGCCTGGGTGACAGAGTGAGACTCCTACTCAAATAAATAAATAAATAAATAAATAAATAAATAAATAAATAAATAAGCTGAGTATGGTGGCATGCATCTGTACTTGGGAGGCTGAGGCAGAAGGATCACCTGAGCCCAGAAGTTTGAGGCTACAATAGCCATGAGTGTGCCACTGCACTACAGCCTTGGTGATAGAGTGAGACTCCAACTCAAAAACAAAAACAAAAGAAGACTCAAAACAAACAAAAAAAACAAAAAAAACACCCCAAAAAGCCACTGACATATCCCTGTTCAGCACATGCAAATCCCAATTCCCTGTTTCCCTACCCCTGGCTTTGCACATGCTGTTCCCTCGACCTGGAACAAACTTCCCTGGCCACGCTGGACTCATCCTTCTGCCCAACCCTGCCAGGCTCAGAGAATTGGTCAGGGTCTCCTGGGATCTGTAGCCATAGCAGCTGCAAGGGGTCAGATCATGATCAGAGTCCCAGGCGCCTTCTAGCTACCTGCCCTGAAGGCACCCACTACCCAGCGCTTCCCACCTCTGTAATGTTCTTGGTCACTTTTGCCTCTGCATCGTATCTTTCTTCGTCCACCTTGTCCACTCGGGCGTGGAGCTGTCGGCACAAGTCCTGGTGGAAAACGGTGTGTTGTGGGGCAAAGTCTAGAGACCTGGACTCCTGGGTCTGAGGGAGGTGGGTTGGGGGCCTGGACCCCTGGGTCTGAGGGAGGAGGGGATGGGACCTGGACCCCTGGGTCTGAGGGAGGAGGGGCTGGGGCTTTGACTCCCAGGTCTGAAAGAGGAGGGACTAGGGGCTGGTCTCCCGGGTCTGAGGGAGGAGGACTGGGGGCCTGGACCCCTCTGTCTGAGGGAGGAGGGGTGGGGACCTGGATCCCCGGGTCTGAGAGAGGAGGGGCTGGGGCCTGGACTCCAAGGCTAGAGCAGGGAGGGGTTGGGAGGTATGGACTCCTGGGTCTGAGGGAGGAGGGTCTGGGGGCATGGACTCATGGGTCTGAGGGAAAAGGGCCTGGGGCTAGACCATTGGGTCTGAGGGAGGAGGGGTGGGGGCCTGGACTCCTGGGTCTGAGGGAGGTGAGGTTGGGGACTTGGGTCCCTGGGTCTGATGGAGGAGGAGCTGGGGCCTGGACTTCAAGGCTAGAGGGGGGAGGGGTTGGGGGCAGGAATTCCTGGGTCTGAGGGAGGAGGGGCTGGGGACTTGGACTCCAAGGTCAGAGTGGGGAGGGGTTGGGGTCTGGACTCCTGGGTCTGAGGGTGGAGAGGCTGGGGCTTGGACTTCTGGGTCTGAGGGAGGAGAGGCTGGGGCTTGGACCCCTGTGTCTGAGGGAGGAAGAAGGGCTGGGGATTTGGACTTCTGTGTCTGAGAGAGGAGAGGCTGGAGCCTGGATCCCTGGGTCTGATGAAGGAGGCTAGGGAGCTGGACTCCCAGGTCTGAGGGAAGAGGGGCTGCAGACATGGACTCCCGATCTGGGGGAGGAGGAGTGGAAGCCTGGACCCCTGGTCTGAGGGAAGAGGGGCTTGGGCCTGGACTCTGGGGTCTGAAGGAGGAGGGGTTGGGAGCTAGTCTCCTGGATCTGAGGGAGGAGGGCTGGGGGCCTGGACCCCTGTGTCTGAAGGGGGAGGGACTGGGGGACTAGACTACTAGACTGAGGAAGGGGGGACTGAGGCCTGGACTCCTTCCTGGGGTGGGGAGCTGAGGACATATGGTCCTGAAGGAGTGGATTGGAGCTCAGACCTCACAGCCCTGCAAACAGGGCACTAGAGGCTACGAGTCCCAAGAACCTGACTGCATTAGGGCTGGAAGAACCGATCTCTGGGTTCTGCGATTGCAGACAGCTGCAGGCCGAATTCTGAACTTCGGAGCGTAAGGACTGCGATGTTGGACCCTGGGTCCTGAGCAGATATGGGGACAGTGATGGTACTCCTGAGTCCCGAGGGAGGCGAGACCGGAGACGGGAAACCTCGGAGGTCAGGCCTCAAGCAGTCCCTGCCTCGGAGCCGGTACCTGCAGCTCCGCGAGGCCCAGCCCGGCCAGCTCCAGCGGCTGGCAGCGGGTGCCCAGAGCGCGCCCCTTGTCTCCGCGCCGCTCCTCCGCCTCGCGCTCCAGCTCCTGTTTCGCGATCTGCAGCATCAGGGTCTGCGGGGGTGGGGACCGCGGCCCGCGGCCCGCCCGGGGCAAAGGGGTGAAGACCTCGCCCGGGAAGCCGCCTCTGCCTCAACCCCAGGCCCAGTCCTGTCTCGCCTTTGCTCTCCATCATTCCAAACCTCCGTCCCTCCCCGACAGGGACTTCTCCGCTTAAAGTCACGCCCTTTAAGCGAAGCCCCTCCCAGTCCCGCCCGCCTAGCCGAAGCCCCGCCCTCCCTCAAAGAGGCTCCCCGCGAAAAGCCCCGCGCTAAGGACCAAGCCACGCCCACTCCCATCCAATTATCCAGAGTCCGGCCCCTTCCCCACCGGGACATCCTCGGGTAAAGCCACGCCCGTAACACGAAGCCCCTCCTATTCGGGGGCCCACCATCTCTCAGGGGTTCTCCCGCGCAAAGCCCCGCTGGAACAACCAAGCCCTGCCCTCTCCCACCCATATATCCGAAGCTCCGCCCCTCTCTCACCAGGTCTCTTTAGTAAAGCCCCGCCCCAAGGACAAGGCCCCGCCCCCCAGCTATCTATCGGAAAGCTCGGTCCCTGCTTCACCAGGGCGCCCTACGTAAGGCCACGCCCTAGTGAGCAAGTTCCGCTCGTTCCCGCTCACCTTTCCTTCTAGACATTTTTTTTTTTTTTTGAGTGGGAGTCTCCCTCAGTCGCCCAGATTGGAGTGCCGGGGCCGCTCCCGGCCACCGCAGCCTCGACCTGCTGGGCTCCGGCGATCCTTCCGCCTCAGCCTTCCAAGTAGCTGGAACTACAGGCGCGCGCTACCACGCCCGGCTAATTTTTGATTTATTGTGGAGATGAGGGCTCGCCAAGTTGCCCAGGCAGGTCTCGAACCCGCGGGCTCAGGCAATCCACTCACCTCGGCCTCCCAAAGGCGCGGGATTACAGGCTGAGCCACCGAGCCCGGCCCTTCTAGACTTTCAAGCCCCGCCCCCATGAGCACCCTTGTATTTTCTCAGTCCATTCTCACCTTCAGCTGCAGTTTTCGCGAGGCGGAGATCTTAGACTTTTTCTGCCAGGATGAGATGGAGTAAGGAAGGATGAAGGAGGGGGGATCCAAAGACGTACAATACTAAGGGCTTTAGGAGAATCCCCTTGCCTTACCCCCCCACCACACTCCCGCCCCAGTCTCTACTGGGCCCGCCTCTAATTGAGTCCTGAGTCTATGAAGCCACGCCCCTCAGTGCCATCCACCAATGCGCGGCTCTAACTTTGGCTAGGCACCGCCTATCACCTAAACAAGCCCATGGGCAACGGAGCTCCGCCCACAGGCAACTTCCACCAATCCGAGCCAGCCCCTCGGAGAAACCCGCCCCCTAAGGGGCGTGTCTTTCTAGGCTCCGCCCACGGCCAAGCCCCGCCCTCATCTGAGGCCCTGACCACTCCCACGAAGCTGAACCCGGCGCGGGGGCCCACCTTGGCGTGTGGCTCCGTGGCGTAGGCGCGGTAGTTGGCGGAAGAGCGGCGTCGGACCGGGGCGGGCGCGGGGGTCGGGTCGCCCGCCTGGGATTGGAGGAGCGGGTCGCATCACCACCCAGCCCTACCCATCCTGCCCGTTCCTTACCCTCCCCTGGGGCCGCAGCTTCCCGTCCCAGATCCCTCCCAGCAGCGCCCACCCTGGCCCTGGAGGTCCCAGCCCACGCCTTAGCCAACTGCTCTCACCGCATGGCTGCTCCTGGAGGGAGAGAAAGCAGGGAGCGGAGGTTAATGGGGGCTGCGTCCTGTCCGTCTCCTAAGGGACCCCAGAGACTGCTCTGACCAAGAGGTCGGGTCCCAGGAGCCTCAAGGCACAGCCCTCATCTCATGTCCACACCCGGGGTCCCTCTCCCACCTCCCGTCCCAGGCAGGTGTCCAGTCTGCAGCTCAGACCCCTCCAGGAACTCGGGATATTGCCCCTGACACCCACTCCCTTGGGGCCTGGGGGTTCCCAAGCTTCACTTACTCATCCGCCATGCTGAGAGACTCAGGCCGGACTCGCAGGAAGTGGAGAAGGGGCCGGGGGCTTTTGGAGGGTCAGTGAGGGGAGTCCGGGGTGACCTTGAGGGTCCCAGGGAAGTTAGGTCTCCTCCAGGCTGCTGAAGCCTCACTGAGGACACTGAGATAAACCGTGAGGACAGACTAAATATACTGGTGCCTCCTCCTCCCCTACTTACCATTCGAGATAACGGGGCGCGTGAGAGGCGGGGTAGGCCTAGATTCAGCTGAATCATCCCACCACCCAGAAGTCCTGGGAATCTGGACCTCTACTCCTTTTGACCTTGGAGTCCTGGCCCCTGCCCCTCCTCCCTCAGACCCAGGAGTCCAGGCCCCAAGCCTCCTCCCACAGTTCTAGGAGTTCAGGTCCCAGGCCCTCCTTCCTCAGACCAGTGGTCCAAGCCCCCAGTCCCTCTAGACCCAGGAGTCCAGGCCTCAGACCCTCCTCCCTCAGACCCAGGAGTCCAAGTGCCCGGGCCTATCAATAGATTGCAATCTCCATGACACTGGAACTTGGTGTATCTCTTTCAGCATCCTAAGTCAGTTCAGTGCCCCAAATCTATTAGCCACTCGATGAATGTTGTTGGTTAATTTGAGGACGGAGTGGGGGGACATGGCACAGGCTTGCAGCCAACAGCACTGAGAAATCCATCCAAGTCTACCGGGAAGCCCAGGAATCTGGGTTCTGGTCACCTCTTTGGAGCCCTCCTCCTCCCAGCCCTGTAGACAGACTTAGGACAGTAAAGACACTGGACACACAGAGCAGAGGACCTGACTCTTTACTTAAACTGCTTGGGTGCAGACCAGACGCTGGTGGGGAGACACCCACTCCCACCTGACAAGCAATGCCTGGGACAGGGACCCCCAGGCTAGGTGTGGTGGAATCTCAGGGGTTCCAGGAATAGAACTTAGAATCCCAAAATTGGGATTTCACCTTCTAGGAGCAGCTCTGGGGCTGAGGGAGGGCGTTGGTAGTGAAATGGAGAATTCTAGCCAGGGGTTTAGAATTAGGCGCGTGAGTTCGAAGACTCTGACCTGACTTTAGAATTCGCAGATGAGGGACTTCGTCTCAGGTGGCGTCAGACTCTTGTTCCAGAGTCTGACTCACTGCTGGGCGTGACCAAAGCCTCCGGGGGCGGAGCCACCTCCTCTAAGAGTGAACCCCCAGACTCTGAGGGTGGCCAGTGGGGCGCGGAGGGTGAGGCCCGGCCTTCCGGAGGCTGGGCCGGGTCCCCAGGGGGCAGGCTCCCTGCTTCAAGAGGCGGGGTCGGGACTTCGCAGGGCGCAGCTCCAGCTCCCACTGCTGGAGCAGGGTCCCCAGGCTTGTGGAAGCGCGCCAGGGTCTCCGAGGGCCTGGCCCCGGACTGTGGGGCGAATCCAGCCGCCCAGGCCAGCTCCCCGACCCGCGCAGAGAATGCCTGCAGCTGTTCCTGCCGCAGGTCCACCAGGTACCTGCGGATGAGACGCGGCAATAGGCACCCGGGGCTCGGGGCTCGGGGCCGGGCCCGGACCTGCCTCACCCTGCACCCCGCCGGCTCACCGGGCTAATTCCACAATCAGGTTACCTCCGGGGGCCACGCAGGCCCCAAGTTCAGGGCTGAGAAGATGGACCATCCTGCAGCCAGGAAACAGAGAAGCTGAGATTCCCATCCCAGATCCCGAGGGAGGAGGGAGGGTTGGGGACCTGGGCACTGAGGGTCCTGGGGCTGCAAAACTGATCTCCTAGGTCTGAGGAAGGAGGGACTGGGGCCTGGACTCCTGTGTCTGAGGGAGGAGGCTGGGAATCTCCTGGGTCAGAGGGAGGAGGTTGGGAATCTGAACTCCTAGGTCTGAGGGAAGAGGCTGGGAGCCTGAACTCCCAGGTCTGAGAGGAGGGGCTGAGGTCTGGATTCCCAAGTCTGAGGAAGGAGGCTGGGAATCTGAACTCCTAGGTCTGAGGGAAGAGGCTGGGAGCCTGGGCTCCTGGGTCTGAGGGAGGAGGCTAGGAGCCTGAACTCCCGGGTCTGAGAGGAGGGGCTGAGGCCTGGATTCCCATGTCTAAGGAAGGAGGCTGTGAGTCTGGACTCCCAGGACTGAGAGGCAGGGCTGAGGCCTGGGTTCCCGGATCTGAGGGAGGAGGCTGGGAGCCTGAACTCCTGGCTCTGAAGGAGGAGGGGCTGGGGGCCTGGACTCCTGGTCCAGGGGAGGAGGCTGGAGGCCTGGACTCCTCATCTGAAGGAGGAAGGTCTTGTGAGCATGACTGTGTTGCTCTTACCCACAGGACACGTAGAGAAGCTGGAACCGGCCCTTGTAGCAGCTCTTGTGGTAGAGAGTTGGGGCAGAATCCAGGGGCAGGAAGTGGACAGAGAAGGGTTCTGGGGCAGAGGCCGCTGGGGAAGGGAGAGGGGGTCATCTCTGGACAGTGGAGCCATTAGCGGCCCAAAGGCGGAGAGATGTGCAGAGAGACGGACAGGGCTGGGCAGACACAAGGTGGTGGTGATACACTGTGGCTTCCTGAAGCCATCCTCATCTTGCCTCTGCAGTAGACTCCTGAGAACTCTGGGAAGGTCAGCCCGCAGGCACAGACCCACTTTACAGACCAAGCAACTGAGACTCCGGAGAGAGAAAGAGAATGGGTGGCCCAGGGCCACACACGTCTCTTGTAGGAGAGACACCAGGGAGGGCCGGCTTGGGTGTGGCTGGAAGGACCCCTGGCCAGGGTCAGGAGGGGGAGGCACCAGGGGTAGCAGGGAGCCAGCACCCGGTGAGGGTGTCAGTCAGCTTAGACCTCTGGTGGGATTAGATCCTACTACTGGAACTCAGAATCCTAGCAATGATGTTAGGACTCAGGAAAAGGAGAGAAACAAACAGAAGAGAGAAGAGGAGATGGAATATCAGGGAGAGGTCATGTGCCCAGGCACCCCAAAACATGTCAGTCAATGCTCTGGTGTGAAACACCTGGATCCTCAGCTCACCTGCAGTCCCTGGCTCACCTAGGGTCCCGGGCTCACTTGGGGGTCCTCGGTTCACCTGGAGTCTCCGGCTCACCTGGGTCCCTGAGCTCACCTGGGGTCCCTGGCTCAACTGAGGTCCCCGGCTCACTTGGGGTGCCCGGATCACCTAGAGTCTCCAGCTCACCCTGGGTCCCCTGCTCATCTGGGCGTCCCAGGCTCACCTGGGGGTCCCCAACTCACCTGGGATCCCCGGCCCACCTGGGTCCCGGGCTCACCTGGAGTCCCTGGCTCCACGCTACCATCCGCGGGCTGCGGCTCTGCCTCTGGGTCCCCTGAAGCGGCTCTCGGGCGCCCCCAGGCGGCCACGTCCCGGAGCGTCTCTGTCACATTGTGTTGTGTGATCTCGCCCGAAGTCTGGGAGGGAGGGAAGGGGCGTGGCCAGTCCTCGGGCTAGGACCGCGGGGCGGAGCCAGAACGGTGGGCGGGGCTTAGAACACTGCATCCGGGACTGGAACCTCCCCCATTCCCCACTCCCCACCCCCGCGCTCAAGGATTCCCGGGGCTGGGATCCGGACGTGCGCCCCTAGCCCCAGGGGGCGAGGCCCGCTCTTGGATGGAGGCGCTTCCCAAAGCCACAGGCAGGGCCTGGGGATGGGGGCGGGCCTGGAAGTCGGGGCTTGGTGCCAGGTGCGGCGCCGCGGCACACCTTGACCGGCTGCCCGTTGCTCGTCCGCAGGAGGCTCTCATCGTCCGCTTCGATGCCGAAGGCCACGAAGGGCCCCGTGGCGATGTCCCCCCAGTACCCGCGCGCTGCCACGCGCTCTCCGCGCTGGGAAAGACGGGAGACAGGCGGCAGGTGAGGTGGGTGCGGGGAACCCGGGGAAGAGCCCAGAGGAGGAGACGGCCGGGCGGGGGTGGACACGCACGTGGCTCAGGAGGCGCCCGGACGCCAGGGTCCGGTTGGGCACGTGGTATGCGCTGGAGTCTCTGAGTTCAAAGGCGACGCCTGTGTCCCGCCAGCGTCGGAACTCCTGGGTGTGGATGACCTGGGCCTGCGGCGGTAGGGGGGTCGCCAGCCCTCAGTGAGCCCGGCTTATGGGCCCCTACCTTCCTCCCTGAAACCAGGGAGTCCAGCCCCCGCCCCTCCTCCCTCTCATCCAGGGTCCAGGACCTAGCCCCTGCTCCCTCTGACCCGGGGGGCCAAGCCCCAGCCCCCTCCTTGT